TATGCATTTTCATTTTGGTTATATTCCCCATACAATTGCACTCCCCCCCTTATTTTGACTCTAATCCTTCCTCTCCCCACATTCCCTCTATTGTATCTCTGGTTTATAGTTGCTTGTTGATTTTGATTTTTACTTTGTATTAATTTGTTTTTTTCCTGGTCCCTTATTTAGGTTTTCTAAATTCCTGCTATGAGTGAGACCATCTAGTATTTTTCTTTTTCTTTCTGGCTTATTTCACTGAGCATGATCCCTTCCAGCTCCATCCATGTTGCTGCAAATTGCATGTTTATCATTTTTGAATGCTGAGTAATATTCCATGGTGTATAGGTACCACATCTTCTTGATCCAGTCATCTATTTGGGGGCATTTGGGTTGTTTCCAAAGCTTAGCTATTGTGAATAGTGCTCCTATAAACATAGGGGTGCAGGTGCCCTTTGGAATTTATGTTTCTGTGTCATTTGGGTAAATACCTAGGAGAACACACCTAAGTTCTTGATATTGTTATTATTTTAAATGATAAAAAAATTTAACTAAGCATATTTTAAATGCTGTCAGTATTCTTAAGTGCCTGCTGAGAGAACATGGACAATGATTAACTATAGACTAATAATTATCTTAAATAAGACTGAGCACCTAGTCATGCAGCAGCCTGCACTGCAAAACTCAAAGATGTTCAGGAATGTGCTTTAATTGCTTAAGATTTTGAAAACTGGATCCAGAGATATGATCTTTGAGGTTGGGATACTGACCTGGCTTAAGTTCTGAGCCAAGTAGAAAGTACATGGCCCATGGTGCAAAAACCAAGGTGACCATTTTTTTTTTTTAAGGAAGATTCACCAAAGTCATTATTTCATCATACTTTGCCTGATTGGATTAGTCAGGATAAACAAAAAGGAATCTAGAAATATTCTCATACAACCAAGTAGGAATAATTAGAGGGTGTGTATCTAAAAATGATTAAGTAGAAAGATGGAATTCAGAGGCTTCCAATTCAGATAGCTCTATCAACCTGTCACTTGCCTTTAGGCAAGCCATTTAACTCACCCTCCCTTAGCTCTTTTCAATCACCTTACCCTCTCCCCAGGTTAAGTTAGGTATCTATAATTAATATAAGTAGACCAGTTGATATCTAAGATTTCCTTCAGCTATAAAAATCTAAGTCTCTATTAAAACAGGATAAGCACATGATTGAAGGTAATTTAGGCAGAAACCCTATAATAACTGGCAAGGAAGAATGTCAATCAGCAAAAGAGAAGCCAACAGTTATAGATAAAAGCAGCAGAGTATTACAGCTCTATGATGGAACCAAATTGTTGTGTGTTTGTAATTAGCCCCACAATCCTCTCACCCCCTGCACCTCTGGCCTGTACCCCAGTTCTTATATGCATAAATAAATAAATCTTTAAAAAAAAAAAAACCTGGGCCTCCCCAGTGGCACAGCAGGTTGAGTTCAGCGCTGTGAAGCTGTCCGCAGCCTCTGCAGTGAGGGTTCAATTCCCGGCCGGCCAGGGAGATTCCCAGGTGTGGCAGATCTCGCCTGTCTTGCCCGCTGCAGTGTATTTCAGTCAGTCTGCCCATTCTGCAACCTGCTCTGTCTCTGGTGAACCCTCTCTCTCTCTCTCTCACACACACACACACACACACATACACACACACACACCCCCCAGTGCTTCTGGCCTGTATCCCAGCTCTTGCATAAAAATAAATAAATCTTTAAAAAAAAAAAAAAAAGAGAGAAGGAGAATTCCCTAATTCTTCAAAGTTTAGGGAATAATGTTAAATACTTTACTATGTGCATTTGGAAAGTGGAGATACAAATAGTTAAAAAAAAGAGTGTGTTACTTTTAATGTTGATTAATATAATAAAACTAGCTATAGGTTATGACTGCCTCTATGTGCCTTAGACTGCATGCTAAGCACTGTTATAAAATGTCATAGAATAGATTCTCTTATTATATCAATTTTGCAGATAAGGAATCTGAGCCATGGAAAGTTAAGGGCTTTCTGAGGACATTTAGCTAGTGGTGAAGCTCTTACTATAATGCAGATCTCTTCACTCCAGAGTTCAGGTGTTCCCAAACTTTTTTCCTAAAAAAACATTACACAAAATATAAGGAAAATGCAAATAACTTGTATCTACAGGTATCCTGCAATTTTTTCCTAAAAAGATTAACTATAGAACAGATTTCTTTGCCAACTTCTATTGATACACTTACAGTAAGATCTTACCTAAAATGTGATGCTAAAATAGGGACACTTACAATATCATCATACTTATCTGGTAAGTCAGAATCAATACAACAGGAATCTAGAAATCTCATTAGCTTTCCAACTGAGGACACAGAGAAAATATAAGAAAAAATAATCAAATAGCAAGACCAGGAGTGATGATACTGAGTTCAAGTCAGTTTCTAAAAAAATTCCACAAATAGGGAGCAGGAGTTGGATTTTACCTGATGTGGCAAGACTTGCAAGTGTCCCTCAGTGTCTATAGTGCCCTCGCACACAGATGGTAACTCAGCAAGCATGACATTTTCAGTTCATAAGAAAAGAAACAGAAACAGACACCAACATACTAAAGAGGTTTAGAGTATAGTCTCTGGAGTCAGAATCTCCTGGATATGTCTCAAAGCTCTGCTATTTTCCTAACACTGTGAGCTTGTGCAAGTTAATTAAGTTCTCTGTGCCTCCATTTCCCATCTGTAAATTAGGGATAGCAAAAGGACTTACTTCAAACGCGTTTTACAAAGATTGGGTGACTACATGTAAAGTACGTAGAAGACCTGCACATATACATGTTACTGCAATAGTCCATTCCCCCCTTATCTTCAGTGGTTTCAGTTATCTGGAGCCTACCCCAGTGGGAAAGTACTTCCTACATTAAGATAGTTTTCAAAAGAGAGAGAGAGAAAGGGAGCCCACATTCACATACCTTTTATTACAGTATATTATTATAATTGCTCTATTTTATTCTTACCTGTTAATCTCTTACTATGACTAATTTATCAACTAAACCTTATCATAGGTATTATGTATAAATAATATATATATATATATAGGGTATTAGATTATACAAGGTTTCAGACATCCATAGGCCATCTTGCAACAAATCCCCCTACGGTAAGGCGGTGTACTGTACATTATCATATATTATTATAGAATGGGGGATAGACAGATGTAAACTATCAAGAAAAGTAAGCACAGTTTATTTGGTGACAAAATCATCCATCCGTGGGAAAGAACATCTCTTTTAACTGTATGGGGACAGCCCCCATGAATCTGGGTAAGATTCCCTTTTGCCTGGCACTGAAAGAAATATAGTCAAGTAAACCTAAAGCTAGTTTAGGATATATGGTATATATAACCTTGAGCACTGAACAAACCCTCCACAATAATAATAAATCCTCCTTCTGTGATAACAACTTAAGAAAAGGTGCTCAAAGGAAGAATTATTAATCGTCTCCACGCTTCCTCACCTCCCTTTCAAAGATTTTTACAAGACCAGTGGGGTTTGCTGGAGTTTCCAAACTTCTTCCCAGGAAATCTGAAATGGGTACTGCTAGGAGTCGCTGTATAATTACCTAGTTGATTCCCTCTAAGGAGCTTACGCTAAGAATTGAGGAAAGAAAGCAGATTAACCATTTGAATACATGCCATGGCCCATCCACAAGCCCTCTCCTCTCTCCTCCATAAATGGGGGCTTCTACAATCCCCACCCTTCAGCCCCAATATGTGATCCAGGGAAATCAATTTATTGCTTTGGCTAATCCTACAACAATAGGGGTTTCATTTTCATTGTAGGGCAATTAAGTTGTCCGACGGAAAGCAAAGGAGGGGGAGGGAGGGAGGTTGGGGGAACTCTCCCATCCCCACAGACAGATTAGTGCCCGTGGAGGCAGCAGCGTCCGTTCCGTCTGTCTAGCGGTGGGTCACACGCCGCTCGCAGCTGCTACCTAGCAACGCAAAGCCGGAGAGAGAGCTCGCCGGATTCCCTGCCTCCTCCGAGCCCTCGCCATTCATCCTTGGTTCCTCTCGCGTCTTTCTCGCCTTCTCCCTCTCGCTCCTCTCGCTCAGTCTTCAAGCTCCCCCTCTGCTCACTCTTCCTCTTAATTTGCTTGTCTTCCTTTCTCTCTTCCTCGCGTACTAATTTTATGCACCTCACTTCTTTCTCCCTATTTCCCTTGCCTAGTGCCATAAAAATGTAAACTCTCCAACAACTGAAGAGAAGCTACCAGGGCTTCCTACTAGAAACTTTCTGCATTCGAGCCCTCAAAACTGTAGCTAAGCAGACGGGCCCCATTCATCAACACAAAAGATCCCCCCACACCCCTTACCCGCCTGGAAAAGAAAACTCTTCAAGAAAGCGCTCCGGTATATCATTCGCTCCCTCGGCCAATCCCACCCCTCCGTCTTATCTTGGCTCGTAAATGATCTCTATCGAGATGCAGTCTCTTGGGGGTCACCGCGGGACCAAGTTTCGCTGGCGTTTTCAGGCTGGGCTGGGGTTAGGGGCTGGGGGTGGGGGGTGGAGGTGGAGTTCTAGTCCTCAGCCCTGGGCGTGAAAAGAGATTCCCCCTGCGGGGCACTGCAGGTGGAAAACTTCGCACCCAGTAGCGCCGTTCAGTCCTGGAAAGAATAAATCAGTGGAGGGAGTAGGTTGTGCGCTCGCGGGGAAGACCCTCAGTCTCCGGATTCCAACTCCGAAGTGCTTTCCAGAAGGCCCGGGGCAAACCCCCGTGGGAACAAAGACGGGATCCCCGTGAGGGTGCGCTGTCACCGAAACTCGGGGTTTGCTTTCTCAAGTTGGCTGCTGCTAAGTTCCGCGGCGGGAGTAGGAGGGGCGCTCCCGCTCGCCCCTATCTGGGCAACCTGAGCGCCCCTGGGGGAGCGGCTCCGGCGCCGGCGCCCTGCCCTGGCCCCTACCCTGCTGCGACCCCCTCCGCCCGCCCTCAGACTCGAACCTGCCACGGCCCGTGGAACTCAAGACGGCTGGCGCTTACCCTGACCAGTGGCCCGCTCCAGGCAGGCGGCGAAAGCCAGCAGCAGCGTGCACGCCACCGCCGCCGCCCGGCGCTCCATGCCCAGCCACCGTCCGGGGCCCCGGCCTCGCGGTTCCTTCCCCGGAGGTGGGCGCGCGTCGCACACGCACCAGCAGCGCCTCTGCCAAGCGCTCCTTTACGCCGACACCTCGGCGGGCTCCTGGTATATGGAAAACGGCCCCGGCGCCCCAGGCATCCCGTTTTCTACCCGCGCCAGTCCCCACCCTCCAGACTGTGCATAAAGCCCTTTAGACCCGACCGCCCCGGAACTAGCATGCGAGAATCCAATGGGGCAGGCCCCCTGCCGCCCGGCCCGCCCCCTGCACTTTGCAGCGCTGGGAGGAGTAGGGACTCCAACACACGCGCGCTCGCACAGGCACCTTCCACACAAGCGCGCATACTCACACGTACTCGGAGTCTCACACAGAGTTGTCCACACTCCTCAGTGACCAACTCACCCACAGCCTCACACTCCCGCGTGCGCTCACACACACTTCTCGGTCACATGCGTGCACGCACACTCTTCTGTGTCACACTCATTCAGAAGCACACATTTCTCACAGTCACACGCTCACAAGCGCGCACGCCCTGCCCTCGCCTCTCCTCAGGATTTGCCTGCACACAGAAGTCGGCTAGGCAGTGCACGGGGACATGTGCCACAGGCACAGTCTTAGAAACTAAATGCGCAACGAAAAGAAATTGGGGAGGGCGGGAGTGTCAAGAGTAGGGAAAGAAAACAGAGATGGAAAAGTAAGAAAAATAAGAAAAGGAAGTGAAGGGAAGAGGATAGCAAGGGATAGATACCTTGCTTGGAGAGATGTGTGACCTTCCATTCTCTGCTCTGAAACCCCTAGACTCCCTCGACCACCCTTGTTTCCCCCATAGGGGTGAGGCGCTGAGCTGGAGTGCTCTATGTTTTTTACGGATTAGGCTGGGGCTTGGATCCATGTTTAGTTTTTCTTAAGCACCATATCTACAGGTGTCACGACTAGATCGCGCTTCTTGCAAGTCTATTCAATTTGAAAAGAATTTGAAAAGAATGAACTTCTGGAGGGTGTTGGTGCCCCTTAGAAGAGGGGGAGACATAAGGGCTTCAGAGAATCTCGCAGCTCCCTTCTTTGGGGCAACGTTGGGCAGGCTGGCGGGTGGGGGTGGCCCCAAAGATTACTGTGAATGGACCTTACGTTCACTCTCAGAGCATCGCCAGCCAGAGTCCACAGGAAAAAAGGGAAGGTTGAGGCAACCCTTTGCCCTGTGTGAGGCGGTGTTATTCTCAGGCCTGGGTCGCCCCAGAATCTCCTGTGCCGGCTCCTCCACTAGCTTAGCAGCGAGATCCCGGGCGCTGGTCCTGATCCAGGCAGTCAGAAACCCTGTCTCCCAGCCAGAGGGGCTGTGGCGCGTGGAGGCATCGGTTTTGCGTCTACGTAGCGCCCGGGCAGGGTCTCGCCGCCTTGCCCTCCCCAAGGGCGAGAACCTGACAGTCCCTGCAGCAGCGATCCTCTTGGGCTTTGCTGACCGCCTCCCCCCAACAGTCCGGATCGCGTGCCTTCCGTGGGCATGAGCGGTTGGTAAAGCTTTGCGGGGAGGTGCATATCACTTGTTGTAAGAAAAATAGACACACACAGGAAAAAAATTAGAACTTAAAAGAGTAGAGTTGTGAGACGGGGGAATGGGGGAGAGCGCGTAGGGTTTTCTTTTCGAGATTTCTGAATTTGGAAAACCAGAGTTCTCTGCTCTGACCAAAATCACTGGCGCTGCGCGGTGCCGTGGAAGAGGCGGGACTGGGGACCCGAGGGGCAGAGGGCTGGGAAGTGAGGGGGACGAGCCGGGCGGGAGGAGGGAAGCGGAGAGGGGGCGAGAAGCTGTACAGTCTCCGCGGGTGATTTATGCCGGTTCCGGGCTGCCTGGGCGATGGTACGAGACCGCGCCGGGGTCAGGCCGCCCCGACGCCCGCCCGGGCCGCCTGCATAGTCAATGAGCGTCCCCGCACCGCCGAGCTACAAAGAGCCGCGGCCGGCCCTGCGGAGGCGCGCGCCTAGCGGGGCGCGCGGGCGGGGATCGCGGGCGCAGGACGGGCTGCGTGGCTCGGGGGGCGCGCGTGGGCGCCTGGGGGTGCGAGAGCCGGGCGGGTGTGAGTACGTGTGTGCGCGCGCGTGCGTGCGTGTCCTTTCACTGGAGCGGCCGGGGCTCCAAACATTCCTTTCTGCACCGAAGAGTTTTCTTCATTGTTGTTGTCTTTGTGCTCCGGTGTTGCCAACTTGCTGGAATTCCTGACGTGGTTGCACAGCAGGGCTCAGGCAGACGGTAGGAGCCAGCTGCGTTTGTGTACTAGGCCGACCCCGCCTTTAATCCCAGAATAAGGCCAGAGAGCGGGGAGAAAGGAGGGAGAACCAGAAGGAACAGATAAAGGGTTGGGAGGGGAGACCACTAACGGAGCATGAGCCATCATTCCCAACACCATGTATGTAAACTCACACATCCACACTCTTTTGCATTAGAAAACCCCATTTTCTGGAGGTAATTCCAAACTCGTGTCTCTTAAGAACAGTAATCTTTTACATCCTACATGGTGCGCGTGTTTATCTCCAGAAGCTATGCCTGAGAATGCGCTTTGCTAGAATGGGATTTAATCGGAGAGCCATCATCTAGGAAATACCAGGTTAATTTAGTTGTGATTTAAGTCAGCCTTGTTTCCATATATTACAAAAGTGTGATTTCTTTATTTTCCACATTTCTGCCTACATATATGCACATAGGACTTTCCAAGCAGCCAAAAAAAATGTGCTGAAAGTGAAATTATTCTAGTACATTTATGTTAATTTAACGTTTGATACTTTTTACTTGTCTATATTATTTTACTTACGCATCTCCATACCAAATTACCAGAAATATTTTCAGATGCGAGAAAATCAGCTGCCCACTGGACAGCTCCAATGCAATGTCCCTAAGACCTTAATCAACATGATTCACCCTGATCCATAAACTTTCTGTGTTTCTCAACTCAGTAAGTGACACGACCGTCTACCCAAGAGCCCAAAGCCACAATTGTCGTTTTTGGTTCCTCTATCTTTCCCTGACCCCATAGGCAATGAGTCATGAAATTCTGGTAACTCAAATTCCTTAATCCACTCATTTCTCACTCTCACTTTTCTCTCATTTGTGTCAACTTCAACTACCAGTAGCCACCAGCCTCTTTAACCTGAATTATGACAAGAGCCTTATAATGGGCTCCTTGCGTCAGGTTTGCCCTCCCCCAATCCCCAAATCTACCCTCCCTGTTTTCCATTCTGTTTGGAAGCAGATCACCCAAAGTGATATTCCATCAAACTAGTGTTTTCAAATAGAGGGCGTTACCCTACCCACTAGAAGGTTATAATATCAATTTAGTGAGTCAGACAGGATTTATTTTTTAATTAAACAGAATAGAAATTAAAATAACTTTCATGTGGAAAAGAGATGTATTATTTCACGAAACTGTTTCGGATATATAGTGTGTTGACTAAGTAAAACGCATTTCTTATTATGCATCTTAGTCCAAAAAGTTTGTGGTGTTTTCCACAAATTGCTTATTAATTAAAAAGAGAAAATGGTAACTTTATGTGGAGAACCTGGCAGATGTTTTTTATTATGATTTAGGTATCATAAAGGCAAGAGATCAGAGATCTACTACAATGGAAAAGATGGTCTATTATACTTACATGTAACACGAGAGGAATACAGGTCACTCCAAGAGGGGCAGCGGTGGGGGGGGACCCCCAAACAGGGAACCAGCAGAGTCATCAGAGAGGGAAAGATGAGAATTGTGGACAGATCCTTTTCTATGGTTCCCAGGGAAGGAATAGGCAGGTAATATAGACAGATTTAGGTACTCCCTGTGGAGAACACTCCACAAGACAATGGGGGTACAGAAGGTCAAGGCAAGGTGACTCAGGCATATTATCAAGTAGTCCACAACAAGGTGTGTCCAGCACAGACAGGCAGGGCAGAGTTTAAAGCATAAGATTATAAAAGCTAGAAACATCTTACATACAACAGATACCTTCTGGTATTACTGATAAAAATGCATAACCTGAATCTAATCATGAGAAGACAGCAGACAAACCCAAACTGAGGGACATTCTATAAAATAGCCAATCTGATTTAGGACTTTCCTTTAGCAAAGAAAATTGATAGATATATTAAGGTTTAACTAAAGAGAAAAAAAAGAATTTTGGGAAACCACAAAAACCCTACCAAGTCTAAATGCAAAGAAAATCTATGCAATCATCATGCCAGAAATAGCATGAAATAGCCTACCAGGAATTTGTGTGCTCAGAGGAAGACACAGGGACAGCCCCTTCTCCTTTTCCATTCTTCCAATTTTAAATAACAAAGTCATGGGAGGAGGAGAAACTCCCATCACTTAACTATCTAAAAACTCTGTATAGGCCAAAGGCTGACCTTGAACACAGAGGCAAAAGCAAAGAGGGGCTAGAACAGTGAAGGGAAAAAAAAAAAAGAGTAAGTGGGTCTTATTTATGATACGATTCAACAAATACTTGTGAGTTGATAGAAAGGAAACACAAGAAATTATAGATCCACAGTAATGACAAAATTCCTGGATTCTCTATTTTTAGGTAGTCAAATATCAAACAGAATTTTAAACTCATATCCGTAAGGCCTTTCACAAATATTGTTTATCTCACCTTGAATATCACAAAATATCAAATTAAAGCAGTATTAGACAATTGCCATCACTAATTCCTCCTTAGTTGGTACTTTCCTGCCAAATAATGTTTTACATTTAAAAATATATATAATAAGATAATCTGTATTCTTCAAAAATGGTGAGCTAAAATGAAAGACAAGAAAGGCTAAGTAACTTTTTAAAGATTTTGTTTTGTATCGGGGTTGCTCTACAACAATTTGACAACTAAATGTAATGCAAAGCTTTGGGTTATACTTGTGCTGGTAAATACATATATTTCTAAAGGCCATTACTGGGAAAATCAGTGGAATTTCAATAGGAACTGTATATGGATCCTATAATGTTAAACTTTCTGATATTGTTTAGGAAAAGAGAATGTCCTTGAGCTTGAGAAATGCATTCTAAAGTATTTAGGGGTAGAGAAACATGATTTTGCAACTTGGTGGGGAGGATAATTTAGGGGGAAGTGTGTATGTTTGTGTATT